TGTGTGCGTGTGTGTGTGTGTGTGTGTGTGTGTGGATTGTTTAAAAAAAAGTGGGCTCTCTTCCATCAGGAAGGAGGGGGAAGGAAAGAAAAGGAGACAAGTCACTCAAGGGGAAAAGATAAAGAGAAGGAGAAATAGAGAGAAGGAAGAAACAAGTCGTTAAAGCCCCTCAAACTAATTTTAAAGGGTTAGTTCAGTCAAAAATGAAAATTAGGCTGCGTTTACAGACTCATTTTCATGTGTTGCAAGAAATTTGTTCTTCAGCACATTAGCATAATCATATTTTAACAAGATGGGAGATATTATCTGATAATGAAGCAAATTCATACTCAAAACCTGATGTGGTGAACATGCACAAAACTTCAGCGCCGCTTCCCTTCGTTTAGGGCGAAATTTGTGGTTTGGGTGGGATCTGACACTACTACTTAAAGCTTGAAACCCCCCAGAGGAAGTCAAAACAATAGGTTGGGTGGTCTTGAAAATGCATAATCTAAATAGTTTCAAAGCAACACAGAAGTTTTACTGATATTAAAAGAACTTGATTTAAAATAATACATAGTATGATTCGCTCATTGCTTTTAATAATACATTTTTGTTTAACTCCAGCAAAATCCCTCCAGCTGCAAAATAACTTCATTTCACTGAACCTTTTTTATATTTATCCTTTTTGAATGAATTTTTATTATCTATTTTAAGTAATTCTTCTTTGAACAGCAGAAGGACTGCAAAGAATATCAGTAAAAATTAAAAGGGGCTTAATGTTGAACCCTGTGGAACGCCTATATCATAACATTCTTAATGATGTTATCGACCTCATACGCTAAACACACACGAGCGTGATCAACACTTCCCAATGACAACATGTGACACACACAAACACAAACAGTGTTTATCAAAGAAAAAGGGCTATAAATAAACTCTCGCAGTTTAATAGTTTTCTAAATAAAGTAATACAGTCTACGCATATAAAATAAGAAAATAAAAGAGGACAAAACACAAAAGCACCAACAAAGAGGAGGAAGGAAGGAAAGAGAGACTTACTCTGCAATAGTCATCAATAAAGCGTAGTCTCTTCATGGCCACGTCTCTCACATGACTTCGTCGAAATAGGATTTTGCCTTTAAAATAAAAGGTAGAATGAAATATGTGGTCTACTTCAAAAAATCATTCTGTAATAACAGTATGTAATAACAATGTTATCTATAATAAATGTATCTAGTTTCCAGAAATAGCTTTTTGTTGAAATTGCAAGAATGACTTGAATCATATTTTGGAAAGCAGTTAGAATGCATTAAAAATAATACACAAATCTGTTGCATTCAATTACATTGCTTTCCAGAAAGTGTGTTTATAATTTCATATTGCTACATGATTGCTTTTATGTTTGATAAAATAAAATAATATAAAATAAAATAAAATAAAATAAAACAAAAAAGCAGCTTAAATAACTATTTATCTTATTTGTGGCCAATCCAGTGAAAATGTTGACAGGGAAAGTAAAAATCAGAAGTACTGGCCCAATTGGAGAAAAAAATAAATCTTTATTGCTGAGCCCTGCTCAGTGCTGTGAGCAAAATGCAGTGCATTTTAGAATAACCAATAAGAAAATGTTTAGAAACATGATACACAGGACAGCTACTGAAGAGAGACGCCATGTGTTGTTCTTCAGATCTGGAACATCGTAATCAGATTCAGACGTTTGGAGGAGATAAGATCACCACGTAGCACCAAGCTCCAGCTGTCATGCTCTCCTGACTCAAGCTGTTTACGCTCAAGGAAACACTGAGAGATACTTACCATCGTGCAAAATGAACAAAATCCTTGTGATCAAAACCTTCATAAATCAGCCGTAGATTCACCTTGACTTGTTCTGTCTCATATACTACTATTATTGTATGTGCTCCTGAAAAATGTATACATGTATGAAATGTATACATATTGTATGTACACTGAAGAAATGTTGGTGTAGAAAAATGTTTTACTCAGAAATTGCTAGTAAATTTCACAAGTAATGACAAGCAACACTTGAAATTGAATGGCTTTTAGTCTTTTTGTCTGGTAATTTATAATTTAACATATAAAGTGTTTCAAGATGTAACTATAAAAACCATTTGATTCAATGAAAATGGGTGAAAATACTGAAGATCACAAACATTTAATTATAGAAGTTTATAGAGGCCTGATTGTACTTTGCATTTATCAAACCATGGCATGGGGTTGTCTACGTTAATAAAAAGAGTGCGCCTTTTACAACAACAACAACAATAATAATACCAAATACATTACAGTATATAGATATCATATTTGTATAGATAGAAATCTGATCTGTCCTAGTGGAGTCTAATAATCAGACTGGAATTAAACGGATAGATTTAATAGCTTGACACTTGACACCCTATTATTCCCTTACAAATGCTCTGAATGGATTTATAATCCACTTAATATTCTAGTAATCTAAACAACTACATTGCATTCCAGTAAATAATCTAATGGAGCAAGTAATAATCTGAGCTAGTGTGTGCGTATGTGAGAACAAACAGAGAGAATCAGAGGGACTGCTGGAAAACAAAGAACAAGAGACACTAAATCTCCAGGGAATAGAGCAGCCGCATCAGCAAGCCGAGAAAACGTGTCTCGATCGCTCTGTGTCTCTGTCCCGCTCTTCTCATTTTCTTCTTATTGATGGCTTTTGTTCTGAGGGAACGGTGCTGCTCATCTCAATGACTCATGTGCCTGCTTCCTGCATGTGTGTAAGTCAAGAACAGACGCACAACCCCGTCCCAGCATAACCATGACTTATTGTGGACAGATCTGCTGACACCATGTACTTGCAGGTCTGTGTGTTTGTGTTTGTGCAGAGGAGAGGAAGGGGAGGACAAACTCCTCCTCAAATCACCTGGAAGAAAAGGGATAATCCTTTTTTTGGGATCTTTCTGCCCTCCCTCGATTGGGAACTTGTCAAGAATCTGCATCTGTGGGAAGACGCAAGAAACACAACGTAAATGACAAAATAGTCAATAATAGACAGCATTAACTATCAATATTAATACCGTAACAATAAACAGAACTATTTACATACACATCATTTAATATATGATGATGCAAATTAATCGTTAGATCAGAGTTCAGAAGCAATTCACTGACAATTTAGACTGATTTGATTTGATTTGGTGTAACAGGGAAAACTCGCAAATCAAAATGCAAATAGGCTCCAACGTCATATTTAGCTTTCATTTCTTCTATGTCTAATGAAAAATGTCATGATCTCTGTTTAAAATCCTGGGCTCATGATTCCTGAAAACTCGATCATTTTGTTCGCTTTATTTTCCATAATTCTCCACATTTGTCCCTTTTGGGCATTTGAAGTACAAACAGCTGCAGATTATTTGTAAGTATCCCACAAACAAATATAAATCTCAGTTCTAATGGTGTGTTCACACCAGACGCGAATGTAATTATTCGCACGAGTAGATTACATACAAAGTCAACGCAAAGACACGAATAGAGGCGAATTCGCGCCGGGAGACGCAAATGACGCGAAATGTGCGATGCGTTTGCTGCGAACGCACGATATTCGATTTGTTGACAACAGGTACAAAACAGCGATTGTAGTTATCTCCACCATGGTTGATCACACTATGTTTTTATTCGCGCGAGTGACACTGAAAACATCCCACGAGTAATCTAGAGCGAGTGACGCTATGCGCATATTCGCTTCGCGTCTGGAGTGAACACACCATAAGAATTAAAAACAACTACAGGAAACCATCAACAGAAGCTGGGAGATTCTTCATGAGCTGCACTCATGCAAATGTGACCCTGTAAGAGCTCTGACTGGAAACTCCCAGTGGGCTTTGCTCATTAGTGAAAACATTTACAAGAAATGAGAGATTGAGTAAATGTTTAGAAGTAGCTTCTGTGGGAACCAAATAAAGAAGAGAAAGACAAAGGAAAAGATACTCTAAATGAAAATTAGTAATAATAATGGCATTTGATAAAAAAATATATAAGTACATCAACAGCATTTTTAAAGTTTTTTTAACATGTTTTACTTCTAAATAGTCTGCATCTAAAATTTCTAAATTGGAAGATTTCAAAGATTCACTTTGAAATCTTCCAATTTAGAAATTTTAGATGCAGACTATTTAGAAGTAAAACATGTTAAAAAAAAATTAAAAATGCTGTTGATGTACTTATATATTTTTTTATCAAATGCCATTATTATTACTAATTTTCATTTAGAGTATCTTTTCCTTTGTCTTTCTCTTCTTTTAGAGTCTTAAGAATATGAAGAAAAAAATGTTTGGGGCCGACAAGATTTGTTAAAGTTTTTGTAACATTAAAAAGAAAATGCTCACAAAGGCTGCATTTATTTTTAGAATTTTAATCAATCAATAATTTATTATTGTAATGGCAAAGCTCATTTTCAGTAGCCATTACTACAGTCTTCAGTGTCACATGATCCTTTAGAAATCAGTCTAATATGCTGATTTGATGCTCAATAAACATTTCTTATAATTATTAATATTGAAAAAGGTTGTGCTGCTTAATATTTTTGTGGAAACTGTGATGCATTTTTTTTTTCGGGATTCTTTGATAAACAGAAAATTCAAAAGAACAGCATTTATTTGGAATGTGTCCTTGCTGAATAAGTATAAATATTAGTATTAATACCTTTAGTAAAAAAGCTGACCCCAAACTTTTAAACATACAGTGCAACATGCTGTCAAATTGAATCAATCAGTCAACATAAAACATGTTAAAAAAAAACTATTTATATTCTTTAGATTTAGAATTTTTTTTTATCTCTAAATGTAGAGTCTTAAGAATATGAAGAAAAAAATGTTTGGGGCCGACAAGATTTGTTAAAGTTTTTGTAACATTAAAAAGAAAATGCTCACAAAGGCTGCATTTATTTTTAGAATTTTAATCAATCAATAATTTATTATTGTAATGGCAAAGCTCATTTTCAGTAGCCATTACTACAGTCTTCAGTGTCACATGATCCTTTAGAAATCAGTCTAATATGCTGATTTGATGCTCAATAAACATTTCTTATAATTATTAATATTGAAAAAGGTTGTGCTGCTTAATATTTTTGTGGAAACTGTGATGCATTTTTTTAAGGAAAAGATACTCTAAATGAAAATTAGTAATAATAATGGCATTTGATAAAAAAAAATATGTAAGTACATCAACAGCATTTTTAAAGTTTTTTTAACATGTTTTACTTCTAAATAGTCTGCATCTAAAATTTCTAAATTGGAAGATTTCAAAGATTCCCTTTGAAATCTTCCAATTTAGAAATTTTAGATGCAGACTATTTAGAAGTAAAACATGTTAAAAAAACTTTAAAAATGCTGTTGATGTACTTACATATTTTTTTTTATCAAATGCCATTATTATTACTAATTTTCATTTAGAGTATCTTTTCCCTTTGTCTTTCTCTTCTTTATTTGGTTCCCACAGAAGCTACTTCTAAACATTTACTCAATCTCTCATTTCTTTTAAATGTTTTCACTAATGAGCAAAGCCCACTGGGAGTTTCCAGTCAGAGCTCTTACAGGGTCACATTTGCATGAGTGCAGCTCATGAAGAATCTCCCAGCTTCTGTTGATGGTTTCCTGTAGTTGTTTTTAATTCTTATGGTGTGTTCACTCCAGACGCGAAGCGAATATGCGCATAGCGTCACTCGCTCTAGATTACTCGTGGGATGTTTTCAGTGTCACTCGCGCGAATAAAAACATAGTGTGATCAACCATGGTGGAGATAACTACAATCGCTGTTTTGTACCTGTTGTCAACAAATCGAATATCGTGCGTTCGCAGCAAACGCATCGCACATTTCGCGTCATTTGCGTCTCCCGGCGCGAATTCGCCTCTATTCGTGTCTTTGCGTTGACTTTGTATGTAATCTACTCGTGCGAATAATTACATTCGCGTCTGGTGTGAACACACCATTAGAACTGAGATTTATATTTGTTTGTGGGATACTTACAAATAATCTGCAGCTGTTTGTACTTCAAATGCCCAAAAGGGACAAATGTGGAGAATTATGGAAAATAAAGCGAACAAAATGATCGAGTTTTCAGGAGAATCTTTAGCTCTACCAAACTGAAAAAAAAACAAATAATACAGGAAAACTTGAAAACTGACAGAGACATTTAGAGTTTGAGGCTCTCTTTCTCTTTCTGTCTCTTTTTCCTTCTATCTGGCTTTTCTCTCTCATGAGGCCTGTCAGAATGTCTTTTCTCCTGGTACAACAAGGTCAGACTGGAGCGAGGACACACCAGATGTGCAGCGTCTCTCACCGTTTCTGCTAGTCTTGCTGAAATATCTCCCCCAAAACCTTCTTGGTCATGCTTTAGCATGAATCCATGGCACACAGGGAAAGGAGTATTTGAAATCTGAGCCATTCTATAATTGAGGACAGACAAAGATCACACACACACACACACACACACACACACACACACATCTAACCCCTGTGTTTATATATGTGGGGTCAATGCAAGCACAGTCGCTGGTGCACACTGATAGGGTTGTGAGGATCTGGGTCAGATGGCATGGAGATGTCTAACGTCTTGCACTTTCATTTTCCCAAGATCCTGAACTTATTCTGCTGATAATATCACAATTTTTGTGCTTTTTGCAGATAATATGAGTCACTCTCAACCACAGAGCAGCTACACATGCACGTTTATATTTCACAAGTTCGCCTGTCCATTCAGCCCTGCCAGTTAATGGTAAACAAGCTTGGCTTGCTGTTCGCGAAGGAGGCTCAAACCCGAGGCTCGGCTCGAGCTCTGAGTAAGAACCCCCACTTATGATAGTACAGTGTGGAGGAAAAGGAGAAGGAATTAGAGGAGGTGGAGGGATGCCGGAAGAATTGTCGCTGGAACGGAGCAATGACTGCTGCTTATATACGGTCATAGCGATGATTGACAGGACTGGATGATTAGGCTCCTCCCGAACCTGAGTTGGGAACTTCAAGTCATTTTTAAGACATTCAGTAGATGTTGCTTAAAATATACACTACCGGTAACTTTTTTTTTTACTTTTTTGAAGGAAGTGCTGCTTGATATTTTTGTGGAAACTGTGATGCACTACCATTCAAAAGTTTGAGGTAAGTTTTCTTATTAATTTCTTTTTCTTATTTATTTCTATTTCAAATAAATGCTGTTCTATTGAACTTTCTATTCATCAAAGAATCCAGAAAAAAATATATCACAGCATATCACAAAAAAATAGATAAATAAATGTGTGTGTGTGCAACGTGACAGTGACACTGAAGACTGGCGTAATGGCTGCTGAAAATTCAGCTTCGCCATCACAGGAATAAATTACTTTTAAATATATATTCAAATAGAAAAACAGTTATTTTAAATTATAATAACATTTCACAGTTTTTACTGTTTTTACTATTTTGATCAAATAAATGCAGCCTTGGGGAGCATACGAGACTTAAAGAATTTAACATTCTTACCGACCCCAAACTTTTGAACGGTAGTGTAGAATATTTACAATGTCTATCAGGTGTTTGTAAACAAATGTGCCTCTTAAGAATGTTTTCCAGATGATACACCTCTTTACCCCCGTTGATATCTAGTACTGAACATCTTGTTTGAGAGCAAATTCAATATGATGCATATTTATAGCATACTGTATACACAAGTCTAATGATCAGTGTTTAACCAAAGTAAAATAAATAAAGAAAATCACTCATATGTAGAACTCTAGACGTTGTGGTGGAGATGATGTTCACTTGACTGACATGCAGAAGAAAAAAAGGGGGGAAAAAGATAAATGTGGAATAAAAAGCAGTGGAAAGAAAATCGAGATACAGATATAAAGAATGAGGAGGAAGGAAAGACATAATGAGAAATGGAAAAGGAAAATGAGATAAGCAAGATAAAACAGGATAAATAAAATGACAGTGAGCAGGAGAAGAAGATGAAGAGGCTGGGAGTGAA